GAGTACGGCCGCACCTCGCGCCGCCGCGGCCGGGGAGGCAGCTGCGAGGCTGAGCGCCGCGCTGCGCGCCTTGGATTTGAAGCCGAGCACCCCGCGTTTGCGGGCAGGGGTCAGGCGGGCCATGCCAGCACCGCCTCCCCGCAACTGCGGGGACCGGTCAGCCCAGCTAGACCAGGGCAAGGTTTCGAACAGACTGGAACTGACGCTGGTGTTCGCCGAGTTGGCAGAACACCCCGTTTCAGCAGGGCTCTCGCCTCGCCCTACGCCCATCTCCCAGCAGAGCAGACGGCCGCTGCCATCCGAAGCCGAGGATGGTCAGAGCAACGTGCTCCAGCTTGGCACTGCCAGGAATGGGCAAGTCCAAGCCCTCTGGATAATGGCAGTAAACAGGCTGAGAAGATCCGGGAGCAAAAGGGGACGGAGGTGGGAGCAGGACACCCTACCACAGCATGAGCAGATCTGCTCGTACCAGCATCCCCCTCCGGCTCCCACCCTGCCGCTGCACTGGCTGCGCAGCCCCCTCTCCTGCAGACGGGACCAGATGCTCTGGATCCTGCCCGCGTGCTCCGGGTGGTTGCTGTTGTCGCCGCAGGAGCACTGGTGTTTGAGCATCACCGAGTCGTAAACCAGCCCTGCGATGCACAAGGAGAGCTGCTGTCCCGAGGCCGGGCTGGACAGCCAGGCCTCGACGGTGCTGACCCTAATTCAGCTCCTTTTCAGGGGCTGGACAAGACCCTAAACGCCCAGAACTCTTTGGTTGGACTGAAACGCGTCTCTCGGACCATGGAGGCCTCTGTCACAACACGGCTGAAGCAAATCCTGCCTGGGATACGTAAGAGAGCTGAACCTTGCCAGCGTCGCTGGACCAGGATGGCAGTCAAGGGGCCAGGTGGGCAAGTCCTGCTTGGAAAAGCCACCTTAGATAAGGAGAAGGGAACACTCACGGCTTGCTCTGCTCTTTCTGCAGCCAGCCAGAGCACTCCCAAGCATTTCTGAGTCTGGGAGTGACTGGGACGGATGCTAAGCTGCCCCTGGGCATCCCCACCTCCCTTCCAGCTCTCGTCTCCGGCCCCTGCTGCTGCCCCCGCTGTGACAGCCCCGCGCAGGGGCCGGGCTGTACCTGTTGTGAAGTGCGGCTTGGCTGGCTGCTCCTGCACAGGCAGGGAGAGCGTCTTGGAGGCCGTGTCCTGGGCAGGAAGGGAGATGGTCGCGGTGGCAGGAGATGACTGGGCCCTGGAGAGGGGTCTGTGCCCCGCGTGGATGGTGGGGACCATGGGGGAGTCGGCCAAGGGCTGACGCTTGAGGAGCTGCTGCTGCACACGCTGGTAGGAGTCCCAGAGATAGGCCTGATGGAGAGAGGCGGTGCTGAGGTCGGCACCAGGGCGGTGACAGCAGCGTCACCCAGCCCAGGAAAGGGAGCCCTGCACTGTTGCACCTTCAGGGGGTCTGGATACGCCAGCCTCCTCACTGCTGGAGGGGGGGGGCTCGGAGCAGGTTTGCAGGAGCTGGGACACGTCACGCAGCATCTGCTGCTCTCTGCTGGCTCAGCCCCGCAGTGCTGGGCAGCCCTGCAATCTGGAGGACGGTGCCCGGCAGTCTGGGGACGATGGCCAGCCTTGCTGACACCAGGGGTGGCTGCAGCTCCGGTCCTTGTCCTAGCGAACTGCCCCGGGCTTGAGGAAGGTACAGCTTGTGTCCTTACCCACACAGCACCCCTCTCCAGAGGTGGCTCTCAGGATCTGAGCTGAATCTCCCCAGGCTCAGGGACGCCACCAGCTTTGCTGGGTTTGTGCAAAGCCTCAAGTGGGAGACACCAAGGGATGGGGAAAACAACTGCTCCAAATTGCAGGGCAGGGATCTCTGCACGCTGCCTGCTCACGACTGATGCTCGAAGCAATTAAGCCACAACCGGAGAGAGGGACGAGGCTGGGAACTCCTCCTCTTACAGCCCACTCCTGAGCCTGCTATGAAGGCTTCGGACCACCCCGGGGGCTCCACGCAGCTTGGGGCAGCCAGGGGAGGCATTGTCCCTTTTGCCCATGGGCTCCCTGTGCCCAGCAGGGAAACGGTGGCGTCAGGTCGGCAGCCTGGACCCCTCCCCAGGGCCCTTCTCATCCCTGCCAGCCCTTGGGTACCTGCTGTAGGACAAGCTCCTCTTGAGGCTGCATCATCTTCTGCGTCCTCTCGGGCTCCTTCATGCTGCCCCCCGGCCTCGCGGGCTCCACACGTGCCCTTGCAAGGTCACCGCTCTCGGCCCCAGCCTCTGGGAGCGTCCCCTCGGCCTCCATGTCCTCCGAGGAGGGGATCTGCCGCAGACGGGGCTTCTCGCTGGATTTAGCCATGCGCTGCAGCCAGAGGGGTCCCAAATGAGCAGAGAGAGGTGGCAGGGGACAGGCCAGGCCAAGAAGGTGATGGGGAGCGGCAAGGTATCTCGGGGCAGGAGCACAATGGATGTAGGAGCCAAGGAAGCTGAGTAGGTACCCTCGGCTTGCTGCTACGAGCCTGGGCAAGGCAGCACCTCGCGTGCCTGGCTAGGGCTTGGCTCCCGACACCTGGTACTCACCGCCCGGCGCGCAGGGATGCCGTCTCGCCCCCTTCTAGCATCTGTTGCCCATTGCTTCCCACAGGCCTGGACTCCGTGACTTACCTTGCCCAGATGCGTCTGCTGCTTGAGTCTCTCCAGGAACTGGGTGTGATGCTGCTGGTACACCAGTTGCTGCTGGATGGCCTTGGGGTTCTGGGGCAGGGGCTCCGAGCGGGTCCTGCCCAGCGGTTTATGGTGGCCTGGGAGCGACAGGCGCTCTGCAGAGATGAGGGAGGGGGCGAAGGAGAAGGGGACCGTTCCCAGACCTGGCACTGGAGGGGAGAGGAAGGAGAGGTGAGGGGTGTCACTCTCTACTGGGCAGACTATCTCCAGATAGCCCTAAAAATGACAGTGACCCAGCCTCAGAGCCCAGTGGTGGGCTAGGGTGGATGGGCCATGCCTTTATGGCTCCCCTCCTTCTGTCCCCATCATTTTGGCATCACACAGCCCACAGGGGTCTGCAGACAGGATCTGGCTGACCTCAGCTATCTCAGTCCCCCCTCAGCTTCGTCCTCAAAGGCAGAAGCTTCCTTCCCTGCAGGTGTCACAGGGTAGGGAGAGATGGAGCCAGGAACCAGCACAAAGGAGACAGTTCTCTTTCTGCTGCAGTCAGAGCAGATAACCTAGCTTGCTGGCTAGCCAGAACCAGGGTCAACATCTTCCATTCCCTCAGCCTTGGCTTGCAGGAAAGTAATGGATAAATCAAGGCCACCGGGCTTTCCCGGCACCCAAAAAACCCGCCTGCCCTGAGTGAAGCTCCACGCTGAGCCCCGCCAGCACTGACACAGCCTCAGTGCCTGTCACCGAGCTCAGCACCTACCTGCCACCAGCGGAGTGTGGGTGACCGAGGGCTCGAGGATGATGACAGGCTGGAGCCGAGGCGACAAGGGGCTCCCAGCCTCGTGCTGCTCCAAGCCGGGTGGTATGAACATGGGCGAGTGCGTGCCCGCCAGGACAGGGCCGTTCAGCACGGGCACCCGGTGTGCCAGGCTGGAGAGGGGGCGGCGATCTGCCTCTCCCTGCGGAGGAGGAGGAGTGGGTTAGCAACCCGGGAGGACACAGCACAAGAAGGCGGCGGCGTATTCTCACCATGCCCACGGGCAGCACCCGTGAATACTCAGAGCCAGCACACATTTGGCATTCCCTCAGGAACCCCAGGCCCAAAGAAAAGAGCTTCCCCTGCCCCACAGGGACCCTCTGCCCAGTTCTGAGGCTACCTACAACCTGGCTACCTACCCTGGCGCTAGTGGTAGCCGGCAATCCCAGTGTGATGGCCGGAAGGGAGGCTGCACTCTGCAGGGCAAACTGGGCCAGTGAGCTCTCCTGCATCATCAGGCGCTGGGCCAGGGGTGTCTGCACCAAACACAATTCATTAGTCTCCTGCTCCAGCAGCGGCAGAGCTCAGCACGGGACAAGCAACTCGGGCACGGGCAGCAGAAGAGGGTGGCTGAGCCCCAGCAGCCCGGGGGAACGCCTGGGGCCAGGGCAAGGGGCATCGGGGACCCGTGGGGACAGCACATAGACTGAGAGACAAGAAATGCACCCTGCGAAGGAGAGCAGGGCGTCAGGGGCGGCGCTGGGCCGGGCAGATGATCCCACCGTGCAGGGAGAGCAGGGCTAAGGGCAGCTCCTGGGCAGTGGGGTTCAGGGCTGGGGTCCCTGGGTGGGGGACGCTACCTTTGCCTGAGCCTGGGATGGGAGCGGGAGGGTCAGGAAACCCCAACCCACAAGAGCTCTGGCTGCGAGGCCATCAGCACTCACCTCGTGGGCCATGCCGGAGGCAGCTGGGAGCGCTCCGTGCTCAGCGGGGAGACTGTCATTGGGAGAGCTGCAGCCAGACACGGGGGTGCTGCTACTGCTCGGGGAGGAGTCTGCACAGGGAAGAGAAACGGGGGTGATGGGCACCCAGAGAAGGGCTGCAGAGCCCCTACCCCAGCCCTTCATAGCCCTCCCTCCCTCTAACAGCCACCCAACTGCCCTCCTAGGGCCAAATCTCCCTCTGCCACAGTGGAGACGGAGCTGCCCTGCCAGCGGGGGAGGCACCACACCACGGTGAGGAGTCCTGACCAGTTGGCTCGGGGCCTTGGATCCTTCCAGCCTCGTAGGTCCATCCTGGGCCCAAAAAGCAGCAAGCTACAGCGGCAGCAACATCCTTTCCCAACTCATCTCTCCCTGCACTGCCATGGCAGAGCCTCCTCCGCAGGCGCTGGGCCCTGAGGAGGGCACCCAGAACGTGCAAAGCCCCAGAGAAACGGCCCCCAAGCAGACGTGGCGCCGGATCCTGGGCAGACCGTAGCTGTTCCAGCCTGGCCCCAAGGTCTCTCCAAACCCCCCCCGCCCCGAGGTATCACCATCCAGGCGAAGCCCTCACCGATCGCCTCGGGCGGCCGCCTCTTCAGCGAGGGGGGAGCGCTCTCCTTCCGCGTCAGGGGGTTCTTGCGTCGGTCAAGGCACTTCCTGGGCTTGCAACGCACCTTCAGGTTGGGCTCAGATGCTGTGAGAGGACGAGGTGGTCAGTCCCGGCCCCGCTGCCGACGAGGACGAAGCTGGACTGGCTTGGGGGGGGCACAGGGCACCCTGCTTCTCAGCTCCAGCTGTCCCCTGCGAGTGGGCTGCGAGGGTATCATGGTGGGGGGGAGATGGCATCATCCCCAAGGCCTTACCTGTCTTCCGCAGCGGAAAATGCTCTGGGGGGTCAAGAGAAGTGCTGGGGACGGGGGAGAGGAAGCTGCTGAGCACAGGAGGGGAAGGGCCCTCGGGATCCAGACGCTCCAGAGACCTGTGGGGAGAAGCCACCTGGTTAGGGACCCTTCTCAGCTGGCAGCCACGTGCCACCCACGCTACGCCCTCCAACGCAAGGGTGGCCCATGGGGCATTGTCTTTCCTGGGCGTGTGCTAGCTCTTCTGCCAGTGGCCAGAAAGGCCCGTCCTGTCCACTACCACAAAGACCTACAGAAGGGAGCTAGCTGCTGGTTTTGCCTTGTCTGGGGACAAAAGACAAAAAGCCTCGCTGTACTTTTTGGGTCAGGAGTGGGACAAGCCATCAAAGTCCAACAAGGTCAGGGAAAACAACACGGGAGCTTCAACCAGCTTCAGCAAGCGCTTCACACAGAACCAAGATACCTCAACCCAACAGACATGAGCTAAACAGTATCTCTAAGGACCTGGAAGCAGAAGGTAACAGTAAGGTCTTGCCCAAGATAAACAGCCACGTTTTCTGGGTCCTGAGCAGATGTCCTGCTCAGGACAGGCCAGAGGATGCCCCTGTTTTACCTGTACGGCATGGCTGAAGGGTTGGGGTTGCTGGTCCTCTCCAAAGCTGCCTGCTGCTTCTTCAGGATGACCTCAGCCAGCTTCTGCTTCACCACTGTGCTGGCCACAGCACCTGCAGAAAGGCCAGCAGTGACCATACCGAGCTGAGAGCCAACACAGAGCACTTTAAAGGATCCCTGCAGACACGAATGTGGCCCCACAAGCAATGCCAGGATGGCTGGACACCCCCTGTAAGCACACAGACACTGACAAAACCCCGCGGGGAGCTTGTTCGCAGGTCAAGACAGCCTCCGGGAAAGGCCAGCAGGGGCAACTGGAGTTTCCCAGACAGTCGAGGAAGGATCCCTGTCCCACTCTCTGCTCTCCACATCATCTCAGGAGCCTGAATCTTTCCGCCTGTGCCTCACTGAGCACTAGGAGCACGGCTGGTGAGAGGCAGAGCACCGCCAGAGGCAAGTCTCAGCTGCGGCTCTGCCTGCTTCATCTGAGCCAGAAAGAGCAGGTATAAGCTGACACCCACAGAATGAAGAGGGCATGAAAGCACAGCGTGGCTCCTAAAGCAGTGACAAAACTCCCACGAGTCCATGGGATCCTTCTGAAGCCTCTCCAAGGACACTGTGCCCTGGGGCTCTCTCGAGTTTGGGTTA